GCCAGTATGGAAAGTCCCTCAAAAAACATGGAAATTAGCATTTCCATTTCCAAATTTGTTATCAGTATCTACCATGTGTTCAATGCACACAATGCATCCATGCACTGGTTATTAGTATTTCATAGTAGTGGGCTATGGCAACGATGTGACAAATGCTAGTAAAGCAACATCCATGGGTAAACATAAATGACTATTCTATAGCATTGCTTGGCTTTTGATCATATTTCCTCACAGAAATGAATCTTTCCTGGAGCATTATCAGATCTGAGATACACACTGTACATAGCTGATTAGTGCTGATTGTGTTTGCAAGCTATAAAAAATGATTCATGCTTATAATCCTAAAGAGAGGTGTTGTAGGTCAATCGTAATGGCGTTCGGAAGGAGCTCTGTATGCCTTTAGCACTCTCGTGTGTATATATTCAAAGATAATATGCAAACATGCAGACTGCAAATGTAACCATTTTAAAAGCAGCAAGAAAATGTTTTTCTAACACACAAAAGACTAATTTGCAATAAGTCCATACCTCTCAACAGCCCTGGAATGAGCGGGACTGTCCCTCACTTTCAGCTATGTGTTTGAGCAATGTAGGGAGAGCTGACATAACTGTGTAAAGGAGAGTTACAGTGCAATAGTGTCAGTGCAATAGTGTGTTATTCAGTGCTACACTATGATGTACTGTGGATTGCAGTGTGGTGGGCTACATACCCTCGTGTAACCTGTTGTAGATCCAACAGTCCTTTTTAGAAATTTTGAGGATGTTTTGTAAAACAAGCAACAAATCAAACAGGCAGATTTTATTATCACTAATTTACACATACATTTCAGACAACACAGTCAGATGAAAGCACTTTCTGTTACAGGTAGAAGAAGTGCTGAACAGTGGAAGCTGTGCCTAAGAGGCCCAAGGAGCACAAGAAGGCAATCATAAGACAAAGGACTGGTCACCAGTATTTCTCACAGGCTCCCTGTGGCAGATCATTTCTTCTCACTGGCCTACCATGCTTGGTTCTGCACTGTATTCCTGCATATAAGTGGTCATTTTGGTAGAGGCAGGGATTTGCTTTCTCATGTCAGAGCTGTCTCCCTGATGATTGGTAACCTGATGACTGGTGGGGTAATGTTCAAGAAACAGCAGCAAAGCAGTATGAAGAACATATCTGGACAATTAATATGGTAAGACTAGCAGTCACAGGCAGCAGAAATACAGCTATGAAGCTGTAGGCACAGGAATGACTAGATGCCTTCACATACCCGGAAATGCTCTGCTATTTTTCAATGGGAGCTCAATACAAAATTCAGCATTTTCAGGGTAATGCTTAGACACAATTAGCGATCTAAATGTTCACACAAATCACATTTTTTGAGCTTGTGTCTACTTTAAGGACTACAATGATTTCATCTACCCACCCCAAGTCTGCTAACTGAACATTGAAAGAGCACTTTTTTTTTTTTGCTTTCTCTTCCTATCAGCTTGTTTCTTGTCAGCACATGTACATGCAGAACTGATTGGCTCCCAATGCTACCCATCTCTTTCATTCTGAATGCTGCTGTAGAAAAGAATGCAAGAGGCCGAAGTTTGGGTACTTTTAAAATAAGTTTGGGTACTTTTAAAATACAAATTTAATGATGTATTGAATACATGAATATAGAACTGCATAAATTTTCTTCTTCTATATCTTCATAGAGTTTGGCTTTAAGATACCCTTGCAACTAACTGAAGTTCACTGTATAAACAACATACGTAATTTTGTAGCCAAGTCCTTGACTAAACAAAGCATAGCCAAATTTGTCTCAAATATACCCATATGGGATAAAATTATATTTGAAATATATTTAAAAAATATTCTTCCCAAATATATTGGCATAGACTTGAAATGCTACAATTTTGGCCATGTTCAATATATTTAAAAATATATTTATATACATATATATATATATATATATACTGCATGTTGAAATGTGTTTTTATTACAAAATATACGAAAAATGTTTTTTAAAAGTATATTTCAAATATACTGTATGTCTTTAAAAATACAAATCTACATTTTTGGAATGCATTTACAAATATATGTAAAAATATATGTTAAAATTACTTTTTATATGTTAAAAAAAATCTGAAGAATATATTTAAAAATAAAATATTTTAAGCAGCTGACCATTTGGAAACTCAGGCACTGCCCGAGGGCCCAGGGTCAGTAGGGTGCCTCATGAGATGCCCCTGGTACCTTTTTCATAGGCTTTTTTGAGTTTGGGCAAGGACACAGGGGCCCCATGATCCCCTATTGCCCGGGGGCCCCATGAGTTGTCAGTCAGCCCCTGATTTTAAGTATTATATTTTAAATATATATATATATATATATATATATATATATATATATATATATATATATATATTTATTGAAATATATTGAATATGATCAAAATTGTAGCTTTTCAAATATATGACAATATATTTGGGAATAATATTTTTCAAATATATTTCAAATATAGTTTTCTTCCATGGGGGTAGGGTCTTTAGAAGACTATAAAATATCATAAAGTAAGAACTATGAGAAAATAAGTTTTCAGATTTTGTACAAACATGAACATCGCCAAAGATTAATCCTGCAAAGGAAAAATGAAACCTATTAACTTCCTAAAAGCACAGTTTTTACGATTACTAGAGCATTTCAATGAAGCACTAAAAGCAAAAGAGAATTTCTTATGAGATGCACATTGCAAGACCCTTAGATCAATAACACTGTTAGATGTGAGTAAGACTTCCTGAGCATAGAGTAAACATACTACTCCAGGAATCTGGGGGATCCAAGAATATAAAGAACACAATACAGTATACAAAATTACTCTGTTTTCATTTACAGGTCTTACCTAACACATTTTGTACAAGCCTCAATATCTACTAATCTATATAACAGAAATTAATGAGACCATATGAAGTGAGAATAAAGTATTGATATGTCAGTTTGCATTACCCTGTTAAAGGAATGATATACATAATCATGCGGGAACATTACACATGCAGGCAAGTCTAAAACTGCAGCCACGGGCTGAGCTGTTTAATAGATCTTCTTTGAAACAGATCTTTATCCTTCAATGAGTCACTGAACAATAAAAGACCAGAAAGTCATATTGATTAATTTCATCACCAGGGTTAAAGCATTCAATAGTTTAACACCACTCATCATTGTGAAAGATTCTATATGAGTCTGAATTTCCCCTACAGCTAATCAAAACTGTACGTGACTTGTATGGTTCAGTTGGTAAAGAAGCTACTCTGTTAAAATCAATGTGATGGAAATGTCTGATTTGTCAGTGTGTGAGCACACAGCTGGTAGTTTAAGAGCCATATATTGCATTATCATCTCCAGCTGCATGCTGGGTCGGTAATGTGCTACATTGTGCAGTACAGATTTTTGGATGGCTGGAAAGCTTAATTTGAACTGTACCCAAATAAATTTGGTGCAGTATCAACAACAGTTTTTCAGTTTTGCCTCGATTGCAGGTATTTTTATAGAAAACTGCACACCATAAGCTTGTTTGCATAAATGTATTTTTACAGTGTGGCACTCAATAGAGGTACTGTCAGGGCTCCCGGGTATGACCAGAGGTGTGTGACTGACGCAGGGAAATGCAGACTTCAGATATGTTATAAACAATACGATTTATTAACACTAACAATACAAACATAAACGCAGTGCAATACTAAACATAATACAGTGCAAACAAACCCAACCAACCACCCACAGATAACAGTACAAACAATGCGAGCGTCGTCAGGCAGGCCGGGTCAATATCAATCGGGCAGGTAGGTACAGGGGGAGCAAGCGGGGAATGATCGGGGTCACAAGCCAGGGTCAGCAGGTAGCGGGCAGCGTGGTACAGAGGGTCAGGCAGAGGGATGGTCAGGGACGAGCCGGGGTCAGAGCAGGAGAAGTCAGCAGAGGTATAGATCAGGCCGGGTCAGCAACAAGACAGGAACAGGAATAGGAACAGGAACAGAAACAGGAAGCAGGAACAGGATACAGGGCCCAGGAAAAACATACACCAAGGCAGAGTCTGCAGGTCTGGCCATCCCTTAAATACACCAGTATAATTAGTTCCAGGTGTTTGACTGGCTGCAAGGTTGAGTCTCTGATTGCTGGAAGCACCCGCTGGCCAGCCCTGGTACTGCAGCTCATAAGGCAGGTGAGTCCCACTATTGCTGGCCAGTCCATTCCTGACAGGTACATAAAGCTTTATCTGGATGTGCTTATTCCTTTCTTCTAGAACCCCGGACCTCACTACAACAGAAACACCCTCCACCACACCACTCTCTTTGTGCACTTTCTTAAATTCACATTTTGTTGCACCCTCCTAGTTGGGCTTGTAGAATTAGCTAGGCAAATTTAGTTTGGTGGCACTCCTGTATTCAGCAGAGCTGCGTGTGATTGTCTTGGGCTGCTCTGGGTTCTGCGTGCTACAAGTTTGATTACTTCCCCCTGTTTTCTGGAGATTTCCAGAATATAGTGGGTGGGAGAGTCAAAAAAGCAGCCTGAATATTCATGCAACCCAAGCCAATCCCTGAGGTGTGCCCAGATGGTGGTGAGGAGTGCATAAATAGTTTGGAACCCCAGAGACCATGGTTTTTTCCTTGAAGGAGAGCTTCTCAGTCAGAATGGCTGCCAGCCTTTCCTGGCCGTTCTGCTGAGGGTCCAGCCTGCCTCATTGAGGTCCCAGCTGTGCTTAGCTGGGGGGATATCTTGATACAAGCCCCTTGGAAGCCAAAAGAAGGGTGCCGCTGAGGATCCGACCTGAGAGCTTACAGAGGAGTCTGCCTCCCTGAGTTTGAAGGAGACATCCAAGCCCTGAGGACACTGAGTGAGTTCAGATCTAAGGTAGAGGGATCTCAGTGAGTGGTGCTATGTTAACCCCTGTGACGCTGAGTTAAAGGTTTGCCTGGCCTGGAACATTGCTAATGTTGTACCAGTGCTGCTCACCTGATGTCCTATTGCTTAAGGGACTGTGTTCAGAAGCTGCTGCTAAGGGAAGAATGTCTGCAAATTCCTATTTGGACTATCGCACAACTCCCTATACCCTATCCAAGTTCATTTGCAATCAGGGGCGGACTGACAACTCATGGGGCCCCCTGGGCAATAGGGGATCATGGGGCCCCTGTGTCCTTGCCCAACTCAAACTCAAAAAAGCCTATGAAAAAGGTACCAGGGGCATCTCATGGGGCCCCCTACTGACCCCAGGCCCTCGGGCAGTGCCCGAGTTTCCAAATGGTCAGTCCGCCCCTGCTTGCAATACATTTTTAAAAAGGCAACCGCTAGACTGTCTCTGAGCCTTAGAAGTGGAAGTTGCCGATTGCCTGGCTGCTGTTGCACTAGTGGGAATAGAACCTGGGTCACAGACTAGTGGTCCTTGTGGGGGTTTGTGCTACATTTGATAAAATAAAGTATTAAATACCGGTCTTGCAGTTAATGTTGAATAGTGACCTTGAACTCTGCCAACATAGTTTAAGAAAAAGTGTTGACTGGTTAGCACAGGGTCACATAAAGAGCCACCAAAGGAAGCAAAAAGCAACATTTTATGCAACCTTGTTCACATGAGCTGCAGCCCTTGCCTCAGTGGATCCTTGGTGGATTACTTTTTAGAGGGCAATTGACAGCTATGTCAACTCCTCACCACCTGTTTTAACCCTAAAAAGCTTGAACCACCATGCCCCAACTGTGTGCATTGCATGCAGTTGCAAGACTGTTGCTTCATTTGAATGGGTCACACTAGGTGGCAGTATTGCCTGCAGAGCTTCACAGCTGGGGCATATATACAATGTCATCCGTCTGCCTTTGCAGCTTAAGGAAGGTAGTGGGGTGTTGGTAAAACTATGCCTCAACCACCTATTTTTACATTTCCCCAGCTGCTCGTATAAAAAAGATGTTAAATGAAGGCATATCTAAAGTAAAAAACATTTTTTAACTTTAATAAACAAGGGTTAAAACGGCAACTTGTCTTATTTTACACTGCCTGTGTCCTGCTGGGAAGATGCATGCTAAGAATGCATGGACCTGTGTTCTTGGTGACCTTTTATTGCTTATTAAATTAGATACAAACCCTTTCCTGAATAAATTTAGATTACTAAAGCACTGAGTATCATAAACAGCTGCCATATTTCCTTGTAATTAAATACAATTTTCACCTTTTTTTCTTTAGTTTTGGCATTTTAGTGTGCTGCTGAACTCCCTGCAGCCTCTTTGCACTCATTTCTTGTCTACATGCATGCATTCCAAAAACTGCTACATGTCATTACTCAGAGCAGGTCTCCTGAAAGTAATAACAGTGGACCATGCCTACATAATATGTGTCGGCATGACCACTTGGAGCCTCCCTTAAGCGAGGGTGTCAAAGGTTGACAACAAAGTAGCTCAATTGGGAAGAATGCAATCCATTCTTCATTGTCATTCTATGAGAGAAACTTCCTGAACAAGCACCTTCATGGCAGGATAACTAGGTATTACTAGATATTATTTTATTGAAAAGTGCAGATTTTAAAATATTAAAGTAGAAAAATTGGCAATACTTTTTTTTTTCATTTTGGATAGAGTAAGGGAGGGTATAACCCCTGTCAGTTTCTCCCATTGGGGGAAATTTCCCTTCACTTCCTGCCCCATAGCCAAAACAGGAAGTGAAAGGAAATCCCTATAAATTTAGGGATTCTATTGGGGCCCATAAGGTCACCTCAACTATTTTTTTAAGGCAGAACTCAAAATGTGGGACTTTCTTTTACTTTCACTTTTGATGATAATGGTAAACATAATAGATAGAGCTGGTGAATTTCACTTATGGGGGCAGGGGTAGCAAGAAAACCCTGACAGGAGTTCTAATCCTTCTCCACTCTATCCAAAACTAAATAAAAAATTTAGTTTAGCAGCACAGTGGCTTAATGGTTAGCACTTTTGCCTGGCAGTACTAGGGTTGTTGGTTTACATCCCAACCATGACACCCCCTGCCTGGAGTTTGCATGTTCTCCCTTTGCCTGCATGGGTTTCCTCTGAGTACTCCAGTTTCCTCCCACACTCCAAAGACATGCTAGCAGGTTAATTGGTTCCTGTTTAAATTGGCCCTAGTATGTATATGAATGTAGGTTAGGGACTTTAGACTGTACGCCCCTTGAGGGTTAGGGACCGATGTGAATGCACAATATATAGATGTAAAGCGCTGTGTAAATTGATGGCTCTATATAGGTACCTGTAATAAATAAATAAAATAGTTATACTTTAAAAACAACTTTGAAAATACGTGAATACTCTTTTTCATACACTTTTATGAGCTTCTACAGAACATGGTAATGATCCTTAAACTCATATACAGTGGGGATCGAAAGTTTGGGCACCCCAGCTAAAAATTTGTATTAATGTGCATAAAGAAGCCAAGGAAAGATGGAAAAATCTCCAAAAGGCATCAAATTACAGATTAGACATTCTTATAATATGTCAACAAAAGTTAGATTTTTATTTCCATCATTTACAATTTCAAAATAACAGAAAACAAAAAAATGGCGTCTGCAAAAGTTTGGGCACCCTGCAGAGTTAATATCTTGTACTGCCCCCTTTGGCAAGTATCACAGCTTGTAAACGCTTTTTGTAGCCAGCCAAGAGTCTTTAAATTCTTGTTTGAGGTATCTTTGCTCATTCTTCCTTACAAAAGTCTTCCAGTTCTTTGAGATTTCTGGGCTGTCTGTCACGCACTGCTCTTTTAAGGTCTATCCATAGATTTTCAATTATGTTGAGGTCAGGAAATTGTGAAGGCCATGGCAAAACCTTCAGTTTATGCCTCTTGGTGTAATCCCCCGTGGATTTTGAGGTGTGTTTAGGATCATTATCCATTTGTAGAAGCCATCCTCTCTTTAACTTCAGCTTTTTCACAGATGGCATCAAGTTACCATCCAAAATTTGCTGAAATTTTATTGAATCCATTTTTCCTTCTACTCGTGAGATGTTCCCTGTGCCACTGGCTGCAACACAACCCCAAAGCATGATTGATCCAACCTCATGCTTAATAGTTGGACAGAGGTTCTTTTCATTAAATTTCTGTGCCCCTTTCTTCTCCAAACGTACCTTTGCTCATTCGGCCAAAAAGTTCAATTTTAACCTCATCGGTCCACAGAACTTGTTTCCAAAATGCATCAGGCTTGTCTATATGTTCATTTGCAAAGTTCAAACGATGATTTTTGTGGTGAGGACGTAGAAGAGGTTTTCTTCTGATGACTCTTCCATGAAGACCATATTTGTACAAGTATCTCTTTATAGTGGAATAGTGTACCACAACTCCAGTGTCTGCAGATCTTTCTGGAGGGACCGTGCAGTCAAACGTGGGTTTTGAATTGTTTTTCATTCACAATCCTGCGAGCTGTTCTGTCTGATATTTTTCTTGGTCTTCCAGATCTTGCTTTAACTTCCACTGTTTCCTGATGACTGCCATTTCTTAATTACATTCCGAACAGAGGATATTGACATCTGAAAACGCTTTGCTATCTTCTTATAGCCTTCTCCAGCTTTGTGAGCGTCAACTATTTTCAGTTTCAGTTTTCTAGACAACTGCTTAGAAGAACCCATGGTGCTGATTGTTGGGGCAAGGTCAGATGAGTCTGGGCATTTAAAACCTTTGAGATTGACATAACCTGGTCTTCCCAGACGATGATTGAGAACAATCTATGACACTGGCAGGTCTCAGCTTTGGAAAGGGGGCAGTGCATGCTATAAATTCTGCAGGGTGCCCAAACTTTTGCAGACGCCATTTTTCTGTTTTCTGTTATTTTGAAAGTGTAAATGATGGAAATAAAATCTAACTTTTGTTGACATATTATAAGAATGTCTAATCTGTAAGTTGATGCCTTTTGGAGATTTTTTCCATCTTTCCTTGGCTTCTTTATGCACATTAATACAAATTTTTAGCTGGGGTGCCCAAACTTTCGATCCCCACTGTACTGTACACAGTTCATACAATGGACAGAATGGTCTCAATATATACTGATCGGAAACAGAAAATGGCTCCACCATCATATCTAGATTCATCAGCCTGATCTTTATTGAACAGTAGCAGTGTATTTTTTAAAAGAAAGGTTTCCCTTCCTGTAGACTTATGGATGCTTCTTGCTAGCTAGCTGCTGTTACAGTGCTGCTCTTTTTCCATTGGATCTACTGACTCTGTCTACAGATTTAAAGTCTCCCTAAAGACACCTTTATCAAGAATGGCTGATTTCCACAGTCTGGAACAAGTCACCCCTAAAATAATTGGCAGCACTTTAACTTCTTTGCACAGTAAGATATTTGGAAGCCTTCTCAGATTCCTTTACACATCACACTGATTGCTTTGGGAAGTATAAGAAAATTCTTCCAAACTATGTTGCATCCAACATGGTTTGCTTATATAGCTTACTATAGATAATAAATATGTTTTCTTATTCAATACAAATGTAGGCTTTTCAGCTTTTCATTTTTTTTTCTAACAGATGTATCTATAAAAGCACATAAAATGTATCAGTGTATATGGGCATATTTATCCAGCTTATATGAAAATATACAGTACATTTATGTTTCTGGAAATGGCAACATTTACTTCACTTTGATTGTTTTTTGGGGGTAATTTTTCAAACACTGAAAGATAATCTAGCAAAGTGATTTTTTTTTGCAAAGTCTAGTGAAAGGCATAATCCATTTCTTATTGAAAGTATTGCTATTATAATATTAATTATTAAAGTTATTTCACATTGAATGGCGGGAGGCTGGAACCCCCCCCTTCATAAAATGTAGTGAAGGAATATAAAAACACTATGGCATACAAACAGTTTAAATTATAGAAGCTTGTAAAGTATTAAGAAATAATGTCAGATAGATTTGAAGAGGGGCTCAGGTTGAATTGCTAAGAGTTCAACGGTACGCCCTACCTGTTGGGATGTAATGTAACCTTTTATTTTTAATTTAAAAGCAAAAAATAAAACCCTTTAGTTAAAGAGGAACTTCACTTAACTTCTGAAATTGAAAAACAAAGTACACTCAGGCTCGCTTAGAACTGAATCTTTCTTTAAACGATGAGGCTGAGCGCTCCTTACGCTGGACACGCCAGAAGTGGTATAGTAAAGCAAACAAACCAGACTCCATGTTGGCTCATAGATTATGTTCTTTTACACATCACCCCAAACTGATTTCT